CTCCATCAGCCAGCGTGACATTCAGGTTTTCCTAGCCAATTTCGGTTGGCAGGTTAACTCTCCTGGCAAACTGTTCGGCAAAGAAATCATGGGTCGAGCCCGAATCTATTAACATAAGCGCGCGACGACCGTTGATTCTGCCTTCTACACGCAGGAGCTCATGGTCCGTTTCCACATTGACGCTGGTAACCTGGGCCTCAATAGTTGGTGTAACATCTCGCTTGAAATTGGCTTCGGAGCATTCAGCATCATTGTCAACATCCTCCACAGCGAGGCTACTGAATCGGTCACGGGTAGAGACGGAGCACACACTACGCGCAGGTGATGCCTTTTCTTGATGCGTCAGTAATCGCATCGGCCTTACTGACGTCCACCGTTTGAGTGATCTCGATGCTGCGGGCAATTCTGGGCCATTTGGCCATGCGAAGCAGCCCCCCTGGGCTCGTAATGTCTCACGTTCCTCGGGGCTTAGTTTTGTTAGCTTTCTGCTACCTGATGGTGGTGCGAATCCGGGCGCGGTCACCAGTGGTGGTCTGCGCTGAAATAGGCTGTCTGAGGCGACTGCTAGCGCTGCCTGAACGGCGGCTGACAGTGTAATGGGGTGTTCCTTCACTACCAAAGTCCGCATGTTAACGTGCAGGCCGTTGACAAATAGCAAGGCTCTGGAGAGTTCGTCAAGGTCCTGCACCTGTAAACTTAGCCGAGAAAACTCCGTTACGTACGATTCAATTGACCCACGTTGTTGGATAGAGAATATATCCAACCGCACTCTTTCCCCGTCATAGTGAGAGCCATACACTCGCGCTAGGGTGCTTTTCAAAGAATGCCAATCCGAAAATTGCTCACCTGCTTCCATGGAAGAAATTAGCCAAAGACGCGCATTCCCAGCGAGGTAGCTAGCCGCAAAGTTAACTTGGCTCTCCGGGTCACCTTGAGGTGAGCACTTCAAGGCTAACACGACCGTAAATACCCAGTCTTGGAACTCGGAAGGGTTGCCATGGAAAACATTCGGTTCTCTGGTAACGCGTTTGACGCTCGGGCTTGTCTGGGAGAGAGAACCCGATCGACACGGGGCTAGATCCATAGGACTTGAGCTTGATGTAGCAGGAAATTGATGTCGTCCAACTGTAGCAGCCACGTTGTCCCGAGCGCGGTGGATCTCACGGAAAGCGGCGTATAGCAGAGCAGTAGTGGCCAGGAGCACAAGCCACGTCAAAGGGCAAACGATGATCTCAACCATCCTCAAGCTACCAGTGTAACAGTATAGACGTGATTGATTGGAGAATTCGTCGAATGATGTTCAAACCAGAGGTTATAAAGCAAAAGAAAGGCGATAACCGCAGGAGTGAGAATAGTAGGAACACAAGGTGTTACCATAAGACAAGCAAGAAGTGTCTAGGTAAAGCTATTACATACGGTACCATTGTCATCACAGAATTTATTGTATATGTTCAGCGTATGGCGTTGGAATTTCCCCTTGAACTTTAGTCGAAGGCTCTATTCACGGCAATGTGAAAGACGAGAAATTCCTAAGGATATAAGCTCTGCTGAAACATATGGTCCATGTCATCTATCACCTTGTACAGTGCGCATGGAGTGCGCGTCGGGAGTAGGAAAATCCATCCTAGCATGAAACTAAAGGTTTCATTGGCTGATAATGCTTTAACTTGCCTCATCATAGCAAGCCAGATGAAACCTGTTTTTTAGTGCATCCATTCGCGTTCCGGTGTTTTTTTCTTCAAATCATAGTATCAAGAGGCCATAATCAGTTTATGCACTCTTGATAGTAGCCCTTGGGGCTCCGGATAATGCTGGCTGAATATTTGGCAGAATAATGGGTCTTTCTGGTATTGTCATGCATGTTTGGTTTGTTTCCAAAGAAATGGAGGAGAATCGAAGGAAGTGTCTGCCAAGGAGTTTGTAGAGTTCAGCCAATTTCACTGTTTTTGCAGCAGAATCCTCTAAGTTGCTGAGCATGATCCGCCGTGGGCTAAATTATTGTGATACATCAACGGGCAATACCTGGCACTTTTGATTCACACCTTCATGTACACGTGGCATGAGTGGTACACTAACCAAAATAGGATTCTTAGCTGCCAACAGAATCCACGGGCCAGTATTTGTCTTTAAATGTTGACGTCTGCACACTCCAGACATCACAGTTTTCAAGCCTTTTAAAACGAACAGTCATGATGTGAAGATTGTGTGGGTTTCAGTTGTGCAGATCTGCGTGTGCAAGATACAATTTCTACAGCAAGTGCTGCTATATAGTACCACAAATTACATCCTTCACCCCAGTACTCGCCAATATGATGTGTCTGTTCGATCGATTTAAAAGCTATGCACTACATAAGTTAGTATCCGATCGCACATATGTCTATTAGACACTTTGACATGCACCGGTTAGAAATAGTCCTCAACACTACAGTAATATACTAGACTACCCATATGTTAGGTGCCTCCTCCCGTACCTTTTCTAGCTGACCTGCATGCACTTGCGTACTCACCTTTTGTCTCCTTTTGTTCCGTTGGCCTGGGTAGCTACTTGCGCGCCCATATTTGCCATAGCTACCCAGGCCCTTTATCTTGCTGTTCAGACTTGATCTCTTCCTCTCTTTTCTCACTCGTCAATAATCACCATGTAGTCGTTTCGTTCGTCTTGGTCTCTTGTCCCGTCTCTAATAAATGTCGTTCCACCAACCTACCTGTTCCGGTTGTAATGTCTGGATAATCTGTCGTCAGTCGTCCTGTTTCGAAATCAACATTGGCGCCCAACGTGGGGCTCGAACACACGACCCTGAGATTAAGAGTCTCATGCTCTACCGACTGAGCTAGCCAGAAAAAAAGAAAGAGAGAAATGTAGCTGACCTGCATGGCTTGAACGACACGAGGTTGGCATCAGACGAGACGAGGTTAGCGTAGGAGAGACGAGGTTGATAGAGACGAGACGAGGTTGGCGTAGGAGAGACGAGACTGACATGGACGAGTCAAGGTTGACATAGACGAGACGAATGGCGGTTGAGGACGGCTGGACATGGGATGATCTCAGGGTCGTGGGTCGATCAATAATCGGGCGCCAATGTTGAGTTCGAAACAGGACGACTGACGACAGATTATCCAGACATTACAACGGGAACAGGTGTAGCGTTGGCACGCTGGGGACTTCAAAGCGTATAGTGTTTAGAGTATAACATATCCCCGTACTGTATCCCCGTACATTAGCGTACGGAGTCTTCCTTTGTATCAAAGCTGCTGCGCACTATCCTTTTATAGCCAGTTAGTTAATTTAGTTGCCAATCAGTTATAGTTAATTTCATTGCCAGTTTCCAGTACATTTCAATTGCCAATTACAGTGTGTTCACTGAGACCTTTGTGCGTTCTTGCCTCCGAGAGACTGCGGCCCGCTACACAGGTAGGTTGGTGGAGCGACATTTATTAGAGACGGGACAAGAGACCAAGACGAACGAAACGACTACATGGTGATTATTGACGAGTGAGAAAAGAGAGGAAGAGATCAAGTCTGAACAGCAAGATAAAAGGCCTGGGTAGCTATGGCAAATATGGGCGCGCAAGTAGCTACCCAGGCCAACGGAACAAAAGGAGACAAAAGGTGAGTACGCAAGTACATGCAGGTCAGCTAGAAAAGGTACGGGAGGAGGCACCTAACACATAAAACAACAGGCAGCAGCTGCAAACTTCGGTACCTCTTCATCATGAGCTGAATAGCCACATACTCCGTGGTGTAACCAACACCAAATTACGTTGAAGCCTGCAGTAATCCTTTCCCGATCATGCATTGTTTTCGCAGACAGGCCGTCGAAGTCTGACGTCACAGCTTCTTGAAAACGCTTACATGTACTTGCTTGGCCAAGTCGTGAAAAATAAAAGTGCCAGCAGCATGCAGCGTACACAGCTACATCGGCATTATGACTGAGGAGCGCGTGAGCGAGACTATTTATTTCAAATGAACTACTACTTGTCACCGAGTTTGTAGTTTTCGCTTTGCAGAGGAGGAGTAGCTAATTTTGGGCTTTGCCACTACTGTGCCTGTGCTGTCTTTCGGCTTTACAAGTAGTCGCCGGCCAAGGAGCAATGAAGGGTGTCTCTTTTATTTCTACCACAACGTTCGCTGGTTTCACTAAGCTCTGAGACCAACCCACTCTGGCCTCGTTTCCTTGTCCTGCGGCAAGCGAAGACCTCCTATATCTCAGGTCCTGGGGAACACTCAGCAGGAAAACACTGCACGATGGCTTGAGAGCAAAGGAGAAACTTCTTGAATTAAAATAAAATTTGAAGTCGCGATCTTGCACCAGTGATGCCGTGACCGTTGGAAACACGACAAATGCAAGTGGCGCGACTTTTGGTTGTCCCCATTTGGCCTTGTAACTACGTGTAACTAAGAATGTTCAGGCAGCGTGACGTAGGCACTTCGACAGCCTATTTTGTAAACTTCATTTGCTCCACGCAGCGAAATCGATCCCTGAGCGATACTAATGGGCTTCTAAACCGTGCGTAGAGCAACACTGGCACCATGTATGATTCTGGACTTCTGAGAGAGATGTGCACGAAAGCGAGTCATAACTCACTGGCGCTTATCATTCTCTGTACTGTCACTGTTTAGCAAACACACATTGCAAACAATCCTAGTTATGAATGTCGCAGCGTGGGCGTTCATCCACGGCGGCACTTCCTCGTGGATTGTAAGCAGATGGTGCTTTCTGCCACGAAGACGGCCACTACCACTCTTCATTCATTGCGCATAGCCCGGGTGTTTTGCCTGAAGACCTTTCTTGCTTAGGGCTAACCCTCGTTATTTGGACCTTGCTGGTGTAGTGCCGTGTGCATATAATTGATTTACCTGAAAGAGTGAACACTTGTAAGGTTTACTGTAACAGGCTGAAGCAATAATATTTACATAAATAGCTAATGGTCGGTTCTCACGCCCTATCCTATCCGTGGATTTAGTTAAAATCGACAGTAGAGGCAGCATCCATAGGAAGATGATTACCACGGTACTTGGCGGCACCATCGCCCTTCTAGTGGCTATCAGTAAGTCGTATGCCTACTGCTTTTTCACATGCTACTTCAAGCAGTTTTCACTGATGACCATGACCGTATGGATGCACATCACAGCCTTGCCCATGTTTCCTTACACCAGGACGAGATACAAGAAGTCTGCCTTGAACCGGAGCTAGAAAAGGAGTGGCCTGATCATCATTGTAAACAAAATAGCAAGATAGGTCACAGAGGATCGAACAAATGTGATTGTTATCAACCCCTCCAACTCCCCACCAAAAAAAAGCCTTGCTAAAGAAATGAAAAATCAACAACAACAACAAACCCTATTTAAGAACGTGCTTCTAAAGCGGGGAAATAATGAAGATGTTCGATTGAGCCTTAACAGTGCTGATCCTGATTCTTTCTCTCGGCTAATGTGTAATGTCGTTGTCTGCAGGTTTGCTTTGCACGGGATCCCACGGTGATTTACTGCCAAACTGCAGACTGACAGATGGAATCATACAAAACTATGAAGATAGGATCTATATCCAGCCCGACATTGATCAGACACCAGTTGCGTTGTATTTGGGTACTGGAAACCTCTACAAGAAAACGTTCACATTCACATCTCCTTGCAATCTGTTATTGAAAGCGGTTTCACTCATGTACACTGGATCATGCTCAGTAACAGTGAGTTATGGCAGTGATAACATATTTATTGAGACTCTTCACTTTCTAGTTCCGCTGAGCAACCTCTGGCATACTGGATTCGAAAACTTAAATCAAGTTGCTACCCAAACGCTCAACGAGTACATGACAAGGAATGAAATAACGAAGTTGATGATAACCATTTCTGCCAGGGATTCACGTTGCAACATCTACAAAGTCGAGAGAAGCAGCCAGTTAAGAGGATTGGCCATAATTGCCCAGGGTAAGCTGTTAAATTTGTATATTACACAATATATAAATATATAAACAACCAACGAGTAGACGATAGGCGCAAGAAACCAATGAATATTACCAATTGTGCACTCATAACCGTTTATAACACAATTATTAAAATGACAATATGGATGTCTAGAATGGTTTCTCGTGACTATCATCAGCGGATCATCGTCACATGGTATTTAAAGCATCAGTAAAAAATGAAATAAGTAGTATAATGTCAAAAAATTGAAATAAATACCTTGGGATTGCAGCAGCTCGCGGTTACACACAAAGTCATTTACACCAGTAGTGCGACCATATGAAGTGGATGTGAAATAATAGTAATGAATGTGGCAGCTGTGTGTGTGGAATAGAGAAGTGAGCCCGTAGTACCTGAAGAGTGTGAGTGCAAAAACGTTCTCTTTCTGTTAAAACAGGATAGGGTCACGGGTACCAACATAAACAGCTTCTCACAACTGAAACTGCTTATTTTGTGTGGGGTAGTGCCTTTGCCGTTTGCGTTATGCAGAACTCACTAATGTGTCAGAGCGGTCTAACTACAACCAACTTTGTTGGCTCAGAAATATCAAAGATATGTACAGAAGGGAGAAGCTTTGCGAAAACGACTTAAAGAAACCTAACGCCAAACTCCAACAGTACTGCTCATGCATGACACGAGCCAACCAACATGGGCGGTGTGCTGCTTTGCTGCTTCGAATTGTAGACAGCTTTGTCAAGTTTCTTCCTGGTATCGTCATCGCCCATAAATAATCGACACTATTTGTTCCCGTTGGACTGCAGCTTGTGCTCAGTTGGTTGGGCTCAACCTCCCCTCTTTAGTCTCTCCTTAACCTTGAACCTTCTGAGTTGGATAGCTGTTGGTTAGCGCTACGGAGATGTGTCAAAGCTAGGTGTCGGGGCCTCGAATGTCTTAGTACTCTGTCAGTTTGGGTCGAGTTGTTGCACTTTCTGACTGTATATAGTGCCAAGTTACAGTGGTGGGTACGCACTACATATCGTTCGCATTCGAACGATGGACCCTCGAAGGGTTAAATCGTATCCATATGTCCTTTCGCTTCTACATCTATGATTGGTTCAACCTCCGAGTTTCAAATATTTTATTCTGCTGATTTTCTGCATACTTCTCACATGAGTGGATAACCACTACCCTCTTCTTATTGCGGTTTGTTCTCTGTAGTTATCCGTCCGCCTGCTGCAACAAGCCCTGCTCCCAATCGTGCTGTAACAGCTAGATCAGTTCCTAGCCGTTCAACACAGCAGCCGGCTGCCTCTACAGCAACAGCTCCAGTTACGACTGCCTCCACAGTCCCAACTCCAGTTACGAACACTGTAACAGTGAAGTCAACTAGTACTGCTGGCACCTCTGTTACTCAGATCAAGACATCGACTCCAGCAACAAACCTGGTTGAACATTTTGATGATAAGCCAAGAGGATTTAGTTTGGTTTCTTCCATTGTTATTCCTTTGGTTGTACTTTCTGTTCTCCTTAGCGTTTTTATTCTGCTGTTACTGGTGCGGTCACGAACCTTTCTTTCTGGCAGCAGTCATCCGTGGATCATCGCTATTCGTAAATCAACAGTCCCGCAAAATAGGCCAGACCCGATAAATCAGTTTTACGAGAATCACAACGGCGCTGACGGCGCTGACCAGGGACCTACGGCAGAACTGACGGATCTGGGTCTGTACTCGGCCGTTGGACCTGGTTACAGCCATCCAACCAACCGTTCCAAGACACCTCCTGATATAGGTGGTGCTCTTTATGACAGTTGTACGGAGAATGAGCCTTACACGTATGCTACCCGTGATGGTGCTGCGCCAACGTGTTATGTCAACACGGAAACGAAGCAGAAAGATGCTGGTGAGCCATACGCCAGCGTACAGTCTATGTTTGATCAATCAATCGAGGACGTCCATTCACAACCTAAAAGCCAGGAAACAGAGACAGCCAGACAGGAAGCCGAAGAAGCCCCAGCCGTCTGCTACTCAGTTCCCCACAAGACGGATACGACAGATGTTCCCAGACGTTACGAAAACGCAGAGGAGTGCACGGCTACTAAGCGTGATGAACAACCCCGTACTACACATTCAATCGACCACATATGTCATGCTACGGATGTAACATCACGTAGCGTCTTATCGAGGTCCGCGCAATCCGCCGTGCATAACCAGGAGAAGTGTATCAATCCAGATGATGTGGAGCGGAAACAACGCCGTGGTCTGAGTGACGCAACATCAGTAGTATGTCGCAATGCCGCCACCACCACTACCAGCACCAACCAGCAGTCATCTCGCTTATCTTTTCCCGCCACATCTACATCGACACCGACTGGGCCAGACACCCAAAGATGTGTGTCTCCATCTCAGGTCCCAAAGCCTCTGCCATATCGGGTATTCAAAGTATTGAAGGACAGCCAGGGTGATTACATGAACCCACAGGATACAGTCTCCAGTCAAGGGCCTGACCAGCTTGATACAGACACCGATCCTAACATCTATGCAGAACCAGCCATCTCCCTGAGCGATGATATATTGTGCAAAGCAACTACCATTGAAAGAAGAGATGAGGTGGGTGGTATCAGCACTGTGCCGGTTGATCTTCCTGATCCTTCTGCCATATATGCTGTGCCACAGAAAGGCTGCGCGGAAACTTGAAGCATGTACATCTAATATTGCTTCGGTGCCAGATCACATTCGCTAGTTTTTTCAATATTTCATTATTTCCAAACCAGGAATAAACTTAGTTTTGTCAGCGCCGACGACATCCAAAATCACTCATTTGTTTCCACGCTTCATGTCTAATTCGATTCGCGAAAATACACCACGTGAAATTAATCACCCAATGAACACAAACATACCCCCGCCACCATGTAAAATTAGATTGGAATATCTTTTTCCGTGTTTCTTGATCCTTGAAGGGTGGTGGCATTCCTACGGATTACGAAAACTCTGCATCTGGCCGAATCTGACGTGGACCGTGATTTGTTTTCTTTTTCCTCATCCTCACCGTGCCACCCAATTCTACCTATTTTCCATGTACAATCGATGATTTTTTTCTAATCCATTTTATCTTCCAGAACCGCCCACTCTGTCTACTTTGACAATACTGCTTGCTTGTCAATAACATTTCTGCTTGTTGCATGCATTAAAAGACGTTCGTTTCTTTTCGTCTTCAATGTTACAGTTCACACTTGTATATTTCAGTACCATTGTTTCATGTGTTATTATCCCTTACTTTGGTTTCCTTTTGGTAGTTTGACTGTATTTCAACGTCCTTTAGTATACTTCCTCCGTTAACAAAAACTTCGTGATGGAATTTTGAGCCGCTGATTTGGGCACAAACTGCCGTGAAATGAGTCGCAATCACTTTCTTGGCCTTCCCTGGCATGCCATGGCAGAGGTACGATGCAAGGAAAGCGACCTTTCACAACAAGCCGAGCGGAATCGATGGTTGCGCTGTGGAAACATGGGTGATGACAGTCATGGCGAGCGAAACAGAAATACCACTTCTCCGAGGGGATATTGCGCTGCTCTGCCTCTCTACCACTTTAGCACTGAGTACGTTGGAGAGTGATAGAGAGCGATAAAATGGAGCAGCGAGCCCACACAATGAGCGAGTGAACAAAGAGCTGTTTCGATTGCACGGCTCAATGAAAACAATTCTGAATTCAAGTTCTTGTTCAACCTGCGCGAAGCCCAGATTCGAATGCTGATGACCATGCATTCTTTCAGAAGTCTGCAGTCCGATGCGAGTCTCGTGGCTAAAGAAAGTCGACTGGACTTGCTAGCCGCTTTCCGTTCAGTGCTGGTATCCAGTAGAGGAAATGGAATCAGTTTGGCTGTGCCTTTACTCCTCGTTTCGCGGAGTTCTGGAGAGCGAAGATGAAACCAGGGAGTCGTAAAATATTTTTCACGAGTCCCTGGTGGAAACGAGTAATCGCCATCGCGGCGGATCACGCAGCTTGAAAGCTAACTTACTTGAACGACGGCGACATCAAGCGGAGTGTGATCAAAGAAGCCAAGGCAGGGCTGAAACGAGCTGAACAACGACTCGAGAGGGATGATGACCCGCGTACAGCAGATGACGACTCGCGTGCAGCAGATGACGACACCGACGCAGGTCAAAAATGAATCGAGCGAAAGCGACACAAACTGAAATCTCTGCTCATTCCGCCAACAGTTTCTCTTGTAAAGACTCTGTACATAGGCTGAATCACCTTCGTCCAGTGATTTGCTCTAACACGATTCCAGTGCGCAAACCAACAGCCTTCCAACTTGGAAGGTTCATGGTTACGTAGGACCGAAGAGGGGAAGGTAAGCGCATCGAAAATGTGCACAAGCTTAGTCTCACGGCAACTTTTTTCGATTTTTCGACCATTTTGTAGGGGTATGCCAATTTCAAGGTTGTCTTCAGAATATTTTCTGCGGACTTTGCACAATCAATCTACACCCCGAAGGAAAAGTACCTGCACAATGTGGGCGAAATTGGAGAGATCGACTTGCACTAATGTTCTGGTTTCCCACACATGCTCTCTTAAACACTTCGGTGACTCTTCGTCATGAACTAAACTTCCACATACACCGTGTTGTGCACAACAAAAGATTTTGTTGAAGCCCGCAGTAACCCTTTTCCAGTTTACGAAATATTTTACCGGTTTTATAATTATCATTGACCCGGCAGGGACTGCAGGCGATCGAATCCTCAGCGTGACTAATGGGGTACCAATCCGCGCGTAAATCAATACTGTCACCATGTATGATTCCGGACAGATACCTGGATATAAGATTGGTGTTCTCGAAGGCGAGTCAGAAGCCATTGGTGCATGTCGTTTCTCACTACATTTTGGCAAGCACACATTGCAAACGATCCCAGTTATGAACGTCACAGTTCTGGCGTTCAACCAAAACTTGTCATCCTCGTGGATTGTAAGCAGATGGTGATTTCTGCCACGAAGACCGCTACTATCACTCTTCGTGCAACTCGTGAAGTTCCGATGTTTGACCTGAAGACTTGCTTAGGTTTTCCCTCATTTTCTGGAGAGTTCTGGTCTTCTGCCTTGCGCAAATCATTTTTTAGCTGAAGAATTGGATTATTGTCAGCTTAACTGTATCAGGCTAATGCAATACTACTTTACGTAAAGAGCGAAGGGTCACTGTCGCAACTTCCATCCTATCTGTGTAGTTGGTTTAGATCGACAGCAGAGAAGGCATCCATAGGAAGATGAAAGCCAGTGTACTCGGCGTAACGACCGCCGTGATAGTAGCTATCAGTAAGTCATACACCTAGTTCTTGTTGAAAGGTTACTGCAAGTAGTTTTCTATAATGACCCTAACCGTATGGATGCAGATCAGGACTTTGCCTATCTTGCCGTTCAACTGACAGTGAGAGACAGAAAGTCTATCGCTTAGCTAGAAATCGAAACATAATGGTCCTCATTGCAGACTAAATAGTAAATCAGGCCACAGAAAACGAAAGAAATTTGTTTTATCCAAACTTATGAGAATCCAAACCTTAGAGAATGTGCTCCGAATTCGTAGAAATATTCATGTGGGATTGAGCCATGCCAATACCGCTTGCCAATGCTGTGTCTTACTCGTTCCTTCGGTAAATGTATTATGTGTGTTGCCTGCAGGTTTGTTATGCACTGTATCCCATGCCAATATGCTGCCCAACTGCGCGCCAGAAGATGGAGATATACGGACATATGAAAAAAGGATATATATCCAGCCCGAGATTGATGAGAAAGCAGCTACGTTGTATTCGGGTACCACAAAACGGTACAACAAGACCTTCACGTTCACATCACCTTGCCATTTGTTATTCAAAGTGATTTCTCTGACGTACTTTGGATCATGCTCTGTAGCAGTGAGTTATGGAAGTGATAACAATATCAAGTTTCTTCAGACCCTTCCCTTTCCAGTCTCACGAGGACATCATTGGAATACTGGATTGGAGCGGTTAACGGTATCTGTTACCAAAACCCTCCAAGAGTACATGATGGGGATGAAAAGAAGGCAGTTGATGATATCCGTTTCTCCTAGAAAGGCACGTTGTGAAATATACCCCGTCGAGCACATTTCACTAGCACGAGGATTGACCATTATTGCCCAGGGTAAGCCGTTAAATCCTTACAAAACAATTATTTTCGAAATAACATTCTTGTAACAAGCCCACGCGCATTCACATACGCTTATACACACTACTTAACCCTCCTACACGCCAAAACGCGGACCCAAACACTCCTACAGCCACAAACATCACCAAGGATACAAACTTTAAGAGACGCTCCGTTTCCGGCGCAACAAGCACCTGGCGAACACCAGATTGCAGCGCGAGTCAGTTTGTAACCCTGGTGATGTTTGTGCCTGGAGAGCACTATATGAGTGGTGCTCTTCAGCCAAAAATCTTCCTCAGCCTACTCACGCTCACCTGTCGAGGAATCAATTCCCCGAAGCATGGTGTATTGATCAGGGAGTGCTGCTTGCTTGCAAGTTTGCCGAGTGGGCAGGTCGATGGACTTGTTGTGTGCTCTGGATGGCACTCGTGCGTCTGTCAAGTGAGAATTCAAGTCGGCAGGAAAGGCGCGAGCTCTTGTATAGGCAGCAATACACTATTGCGCAAGTATCCTGGAAGTCGCATCAACCTCATCTTTGAAAACGGAAGGAGAGGAATATGGGAAGGAGTTAATAAGCAACTGTCCGCGACTGTAAACAAAAAAAAAAGTAAATTATCGTGTCTGTTCCCGAAGGGAACTCACAACGGCCGCTAACACCTGATAAACGAGGCAGGCACAGTGGGTTGGTCAAATACCATGATTGAGATCCAAGAGGTACCTGGTTCAAGTCCTGCCTGGGAGCGGTTTTTCCAGCTGTGCTGCTACCCACAGTCAACTGGGAACTTGTGGCCAGGCACAAGGGGTACATGGATGCAGCTAATGGGGTTGTTTTCGGCACTTGTGCCAGTGGTTGTGAGACTTATCCACTCACCCCAACCGTTAGGCGCTGCATCTGCAGCTTGGGTTTACCGCGACTGTAAAAGTATAGTAAGAAGTCGGAAGGTTCGATAACAAGGCCTAAAACTAACAGGCTACTGCAAAAGTCCACTGTTAATTTTTTGCTCTGCTATCGCACGTTTTGGCTGTTTATTATCTTGCCACAGTCTCCGATAGTCGCTTCATAACCCGTTCCCATGTGCATTCTTCTTCTATTTTTCAATTAATACTGGCTCATTATCCGAGTTCAATCTTGCATATTCCGTAACAAAAAAATTAAAAAACAACATGAACTATTCACTGGTTTGAAGGAAGGACACAAACCGGAAAAGTCTGAAGAAAAAATTATTGAATAGATTTTTGGTTGGAGGAAAGCAAATCAGCACACGAAGCACAGAAGCAATATACTTTTTTTCGACTTGCATACTACCTTGTTAATAGAGCATGTCTGAGAATACCAAAGTATGTGTGCAATTGGATCTCTCCGATTTCACTCAAAATTTGCAGGTAGGTTCCCTTTGGGTGTGGATCGATTGTGCAAAGCCCTAGAAAAAGTTTCTGAAGGGAACCTTGAAATTTGCATACCCCTCAAAAATGGCTGAAATAGCACATTATTTATGGGTCTAGAAACGAGTCACGCCACAGCGTATCCGAACAAGCTATGAACAAAACTCAATCAAGCCAACATTGCCTCACCTAAGAAGAGTTCCTCGAGCAGTACCGCTTAGCCACGGCAGGATCCCAGAAGACGAGGTCAATCACCCTCTGACGCCACAAATGATCGTCTTGAAAATAGCCAATTTACAAGCGTTGGCAAAACAGCCAGCTACGTCCTCAATTGGCCAGAACTATACACCGGCAGATAGTAGAACACCTCTTCTAGCGCTGAGGACATCCCCCCCCCCCCTCTTCATTTTGGGGTTTTCTTGAAATAATCTTTTTTGAATTTTTCCACTCGACCATCCTGAAATACGGCCAAAGTCAAACATGTACCTACGCAGGAAAGCTCGCCCCTCCGCGACGTCTCCTCAGCAAGTTCTACTCCAACACTAATCTCTAGGCCTCAGAACAAAGTGTATTGGTGACTCGGACAAGGAAAAGCAGCGGTGATCACTTGTCACTCCAAACGACAAGCTTCCCCTTGCGCCACCAATAATATTTTGTGCGACTGTTGATGCAAAAGTGAGTGGAATCCTGAGCGCAGTATTTGAATTCTATTGCAAGATGCTAGGTGAGATCGCGTGCTCTGTGACGTAGGATGACGCTTCCTGGATCACGCCACGCGGCCATCGATCGCGAACGTGTCCGGAACGCGACTCGGAACAGACCATGATAGCAGAGGTGAGATGACCTGCATTTCCTGCTTGATATGTTGAGAACCCCCACAAACTGTCCTTGGAGTGTTGGAATGGCAGCAAGCCGTATATGCCCCTCGTACAGCATGGAGAGTTATTTAACTTTCACACTTACCTCCTGCAATCCCGAACATAGTCCAACAGTAAAAGTCCATTGTTTTCATGTCGATGCTCGACGAACGCTGCTAGTGCGGTCGCTTTGTGTTGCAGCACTGGCTGCACGCACTTGTCGCGTGAACTGCATGAGAGATTTCTTACGTCATAAAGAATGTGACTTCATCATCATTTCACTGGTCTTCGACCTACATGGTCAGGGAAAGTCCCGGTTCGTAGGCCTACAACACGGTCAGCGTGTACTTGAGCGCAGTATCAACACAAGTTCAAACAAGGTGATCACGTCCAGACCAACGGGCGTTCAAGGCGAGTAACAAGCGCACTTTACGAAGGCGACTCTGAGATCTCGTGAGCCATGTTCCACGCGATCGCGCGACTTGGCATTCTTGCGTCACAAGGCACGTGATTTCACCGTGCCTCTTGTGGTAAAATTCTAGAATTGCGCACATGCCTTCAGTCAATTTTACATCAACAGTCGCACAAAAAATTATTGGTGGCGCTAGGAGAAGCTTGTCGTTTGGAGTGACAAGTGATTACCGCTGCTTTTCCTTGTCAGAGTCGGCAATACACTTTGTTCTGCGGCCTTGGGAGTAGTGTTGGAGTAGAAATTGCTGAAAAGACGTCGCGGAGGGGCGAGCTTTCCTGCGCAGGTATGACTTTGGCCTTATTTCAGCATGGTCGAGTGGAAAAATTCAAAAAACATTATTTCAAGAAAACCCCAAAAGGAGGGTGGGGGACATGTCCTCAGCGCTAGAAGAGGTGTTCTACTATCTGCCGGTGTATAGTTCTGGCCAATTGAGGACGTAGCTGGCTGTTTTGCCAGCGCTTGTAAATTGGCTATTTTCAAGACGATCATTTGTGGCGTCAGGGGGTGATGGACCTCGTCTTCTGGGATCCAGGCGTGGCTAAGCGGTACTGCTCCAGGAACTCTTCTAAGGTGGGGCAATGTTGGCTTGATGGAATTTTGTTCGAAGTTTGTTCGTATACGCTGTGGCGTGACTCGTTTCCGGACCCATAAATAATGTGATATTTCGGCCACTTTTGAGGGGTGTGCAAATTTCAAGGTTCCCTTCAGAAACCTTTTCAAGGGCTTTGCACAATCGATCTACACCCCAAAGGGAACCTACCTGCAAATTTTGAGCGAAATCGGAGAGATCCGCTCGCACACATACTTTGGTATTCTCAGCCATGCTCTCTTAATCACCATTGTATTCGACCTGAAGAGTAATGGAATGAAAGGTTTAGTCGAAAAACATTATGGCTTCTGTGCTCCGTTTGCTAAAAAAATTATTGTCACCACCAGAATCCGAATCAAGGACACTGGTTTACCTTAATGCCAACGATGCTTTAAACAGAATGGTAGACTCGTCATCCCAACAGAGACCGTTCAAAAATGTATTGCGATTTCGCTAAAACAAGAAACACACTATTTCTTAGGACTGCGAGAATATTCATTAAAATTGTGCCCATAACTACAATGAATGGCAGTTTGTCGTAGATCATAGTAACTGACGGTGTTAGTGGTCATTGTTGCGTTCCTTGGTCCTTTTTTCTTTCCAAACAAAAATAGTTTTGCTCTTCTTCGTAGTTTAAAAATACATGTAGATTGAAGAAGTGGTGCTGTGCATTGTAATATGCGACGTGCAAGCTGCTTCTAAATGATGTGCGATAAAGGTCTCAGTGCCTCTTTTCATCCAGTCGAGACATAGCTTTGTGCCCATCACAATTAGAGAGGTTTTGCAGAGCGAATGTTCACAATGACTTTCGCGGTCCAGGTGCGAAAATTATTGCGAATGTTCGCGCGAAATTTGTGTTTTGCATGTTTTTCGCTCCAAGAAAGTTTCGCGTGCACTCGCTTGTTTGAGAAGTAGTCTTCATCCGATTATCTTGTTGTTGCGAGTGGCGGCACCCTGAGTCACGGCAGGAGACGAGAGCTCTTTAACTACCTTGTCCATGGCCGGAGAACCACAGACAAACGGGTTGGCTTGTGCCGTTATCTGGCACATCAACCCCTGAAATTCAAAAAGGTATCGTTGATGTAACCGACTCTGAGCAGTGAGAAGACGAGCATGCAGGAGATAGGAGATGGTTCCGGAGATGAAGCAACACGGGCTGCCATAAGTATAGGAAAGCTACCACCCGCGCACCAAGCTAAGAGTAGAGATCAAGTACAAACATGAGGATTGAGGGTGGCTGCAAAAGTTTGCATGTTTCTCGCTCCAAGAAATTTTCGTGTGCACTCGCCTGTTTTGGAGACCTTACGGTGGTCTTCATCCGATTATTTGTTTGTTGCGAGTGGCGGCACGCGCACAAGGTACCCTGAGTCACGGCCTGAGACGAGAGCTCCTGACTATTTGTCCATGGCCGGAGACCCGAAGACAAACGGGCCGGGTTGGCTTGTGCCGTAATCTTGCGCATCAGCACCTCAAAATAAAAAGGCATTATTGATGTAACTGACTCTGAGCAGTGAGAAGACGAGCGAGCAGGAGATCCGAGATGATTCTGGAGATGAAGCAACACGGGCTGTCAAAAGTATAGGAAAGCTAGCACTCGCGGACCAAGCCAAGACTGGCAAGAGTAGAGATCAAGCACAAACATGAAGATTGAGGGTGGCTCACCGTGCACCAGACTGACCAGCGCACGGCAGCGGTCCACAAAGAGCGAAAAATTACTGCGAAAGTTTGTTTCGCGTTTCCTGCAACTTTCGCGTTCAAAACTGCGAACGTTCGCACGAAGTTTCGCTTTTCGTGACGTCAAACGAAAATTCGCCCGAACGTTCGCTCTGCAAAACCTCTCTAACAACATGCATTCACTCGCTTCCTTGTTCGAGAGTAGATCTGTTAGCTTGGTCACAGGGTCCTTTAATGGTGGTAGTGACTGAACGTAGTATACAAAATCAATCAACAACATGTCAGTGTGCATTGGTCCATTCTGTCTCTCCTGTTATGCAATGTATGACCAAGTTTATTTTGAAACTACTTGCTTAAATTCAGGCGCTGCACCTTTAAACCTCTGGCTTGCCCTTTTGTGCTCATGAAACGTCCATCATTATCAGAACATCATCTCGTATGAGTCGAGAACCAGTGCATTCTTCACATTGCTGTGTGTTCTCTGCAGTAATCTAGCCAACTGCTGTAACAAGCCCTCCTCCCAATCATCCTGTTACTAGATCAGCTTCTAGCCTTTCCACACAGGAGATGACTGCCTTTACGGCACCAAGTCCACTTACGAACACTTCCTTTGTGGAGTCATCTAGCACAACCCCTTCCGCGTCGTCCATTACAGTGCAAACCACTCTGCTAATAAATTTGGTTAGCGCAGAGGGCACCTCTGTTACTCATAATAAGACATCGACTCCATCAACAACCCAAGTTGAACAGCTAGAAGTTGGGTCCGACGGATTTAGTTTAGTTACTACTACTATTGTAGTTCCTTTGGTTGTACTTTCTGTTCTCCTGAGCGTTTTTATTCTGCTGTTACTGGTTCGGTCAGGAATTTTTCTTTCTGGCAGCAGTCATCCGTGGATCATCGCTATTCGTAAATCGGCAGTCCAGCAAAATAGGCCAGACCCGATAAATCAGTTTTACGAGAATCACAACGGTGCTGACGGTGTTCAACAGGAACCTACGGCAGAACTGACTGATCCGGGTCTGTACTCGGCCGTTGGTCCTGGTTCCAGCCGTCCAACCAACCGTCCCAAGACACCTCCTGATATGGCTGCTGCACTTTATGACAGTTGTAAGGAGAATGAGACATACACGTATGCTACCTGTGGTAGTGCTGCACCAACGAGTTATGTCAACACGGAAACGAAGCAGAAAGATGCTGGTGAGCCATACGCCAGCGTGCAGTCTATATTTAATCAATCATCCGAGGACGTCCAGTCACATCCTAAAATCCAGCAAGCACAGAAAGCCAGACAAGAAGCGAAAGCAGCTCCAGCCGTCTGCTACTCAGTTCCTCAGAAGGCGGATACGACAGATGTTCGCAAAAAGTACGAGAACACTGAGAAGTGCGCAGCTACTAAGCGTGATGAATCACCCCGCACTAGAAATTCAATTGAACACTTACGTGGTGCTAAGGATGTAACATCACTTCGCGTCTTATCGACGTCCACACAATCCGCAGTACACAACACGGAGAAGTCTGTCGATCCGGATGATGTGGAGCGTAAAAAACGCCGTGGTCTGAGTGACGCAACACCAGTAGTATGCTGCGATACCACCACCACCACTACCAGCACTAACCCGCAGTCATCTCGCTCATCCCTTCCAGCCACATACACATCGACGCCGACTGGATCAAACACCCTAAGATGTGTGTCTCCATCTCAGGTTCCAAAGCCTCTGCCATATCGGGTATTCAAAGTGTTGAAGGACAGCCAGGGCGATCTAAGGAACCCACAGGATACAGTCTCCAATCAAGGGGCTGACCAGCCTGATACAGACACTGATCCTAGCATATATGCAGAACCAGCCATCTCCCTGAGCTATGATATATTGTGCAACGTATCCACCCTAGAAAGAAGAGATGGGGTGGATGGTATCAGCACTGTGCTGGTTGATCTTCCTGATCCCCCTGCCATATATGCTGTGCCACAGAAGGGCTGCGCGGAAACTTGAAGCAGGATCATCTAATAATACTTCGCTGCCAGATCACATTCGCTAGCTTTTCACCATTTTCATGATTTCCAGAACAGGTCTAAAATTATTGTTGTCAGCGTCGACGACTTCCAAAATCACTCATTTGTTTCCACGCTTCGTTTCTAATTCGATTTGCGGAAATACACCAAGTGAAATTAATCACCCAATGAACACAAACATACCCCCCCCCCCCGAGCATGTAAAGTTCTATTGGACTATCCTTTTTCGCGTTTCTTGATCTTTGAAGGGTGGTGGCATTTCTTCGGAAAACTCAGCATCTGGCCGAGTCTGACGCGAACCGGGATTTCTTTCCTATTTCCGCGGCCTCACCGTGCCACCCAATTCTACCTATTTTCCATGTACAGTGGGTCATTTTTTCTAATCAATTGTTATCTTCCACAACCGCCCACTCTGTATAATCTGACCATACTGCTTGCCTGTCACAAACCTAATTATCTGCTTGTTGCATGCGTCTACTTGAAGTAGAGACTTTTTGTTTCTTTCGTCTTCAATGTTACAGTTCACACTTGTATATTTCAGTGCCATTGTTTCAGGTGTTATTATCCCTAACTTTGGTTTCCTTTTGGTAGTTCGACTGTGTTGCAATGTCCTCTAGTATAACGACAATTCCTGTAGGATATTGTACTAAAACATGTTACAAGAGAGAGAGAGATTGAGAGATTGAAAGGGAGAGAGGGAGAGAGGGAGCGAGATGGATCGAGAGAGAGAAAGAGAGAGAGAAAGAGAGAGCGAGGGGGGGGGGAGAGGGAAGAGGAAGAGAGAGTGGGAGAGGAAGAGATAAAGAGAGAGGGGGAAGAGGGAGAAAGAGAGAGGGGCAAGATTATGCAAAAAGAACAAAGTGGGAGATAAGTTTCTAGAGAGAGAGAGAGCTGCCCAGGCCCAGCAGATCTGGTGAATGTGCTTGTGGACTTTGTCCTTGATGTGGGTGACGCTGCACTTGTAGCCAGTGCAGGCTTTTTTCTTTTTTTATGAAAGTGCACGTGCCTATACATAGAATGAAGAGAACAACAACAACAACATCAAGAGAACATAGTGGACTACAAAGGGCGTGTGGGGCTATTAATCTGTGCCGATGAGGTGAAGTGCGCTCTCCCAACCAATGGTCCCGGGATCAAGGCGCACCTCACGCACCATTGGGGAAAGGGAGAGAATAAAGACTGTGTGTGAAGAGTGAGAACCTGAGAGCCAGACAATTATGGAGAGAGAGATGGGGGGATTCGAGTGAGTGAGTTCCAGATTAGTTCAAGAAACTATTTGAATGGACCAACAGCTGTGTTGCTTTCAGCGGGGGGAGGGGGGCAAAACGGAGAAGTTAGATTGGAGCTGCTGCCAGGCAGAGTAGTGCACATGCACTGGATCAGGGTTAAAATGGCCACGAAAAGCAACAAAAAGGAAAGAAGAGAAGAAAAAAACATAAACGCAAAACATTCTGCATTAAGGTGTTTCGATAGCTCTAGGGAGCAAGGTACAGTTCAGTGGGGTGAAGACAAGGTGATCCGTGTGGGACTGGAGAATGGAACATCGTCAAATTTAGCCATGGAATGCTGTCGCCCACAACCAATCCTGGCGCATCTGGTGCTTAAAAATGCTAGACTTGAAGGGCCGAATTCCGTTCGATGCAGGATGTTACGGGATGACTTGCTCAGGAATGTCGTTCCATGCCGCAATGAGGGTGTAGGGGAATGATCTCAGTAGGTAGTTCGGTACTGTCCGAGTAAGTGGCCATTTGCAACTGGAAAGGGTGTCGTGAAGCTTGTTGTCGTTGGGTTCTAGGAGTAGGTGCAGGCGCGGACGGTAGCAGGAGGAGGGCTGCCAGCTGGGGTGGACCCTTAATGTAGTGCAACTTGTACACAAATGCAAGGGCTGAGACTGCCCTCCTGAGCTGCAGGCTCTGAAGGATCGATGGTTCGCATTGCCTTCTCCTGCACCCTGTCATAGCGTCTTAGGTGGGATTGGGCTGCACACATGGTGGCTGGGGGAGCGTACACCAGGATGGGCGGAATGAACCCCTTATACACGGCAAGGCGGCCCTCATGACCTAGAAGCCAAGGAGCACGCCGCAAGTATCCCAGAGGCTGCCTGGCCTTGACAGCGACAGCATGGATATGGCGCTGGAACCCAAGCTTAGAGTCGAATGTGACTCCAAGCAGCTTTAGGTGGTCCGAGTCCGGAATAATTTCGCCGGGAAAGGTGGTTGGTAGAAAGTCAGGGCGCTTTCGAGCATTGCATAAAATCAGGCACTGGTTCTTGGCGGGCTTGAACTGGATCTGCCATTGCAGGCCCCATGGGGCAAGATTGCTGAGGGTTGGCTGTAAGGTTACTGCCTTCTCCTGGAGGTTGTCGCTTGGTCTGATCAGACTGTACACGGTAGTGTCATCGGCGAAGGGGCTGAGTTTTACTCCTTGCGAGCGGCATTGGTCGATATCGGCAGCAAACAATATGAAGAGTGTGGGGCCCAGGACGCTGCCTTGGGGCACTCCGGCAGTGATGGAGTACTTCTTGGAAGCGGGGCCTCCAGTTACCACATTTAGGCAGCGGTTACTCAGGTGGTAGCAAAGCCAAGTGATAAAAGGTCTGCCGTTGCCTACTCGCTCTGCTTTGTTGAGGAGGCCAACGGGAAAGAGACGCGGTCAAACGCACCGGCAATATCTATTGCTACTACTGGGACACAGCCCCCCTTAGCTACAACCTGCACCTATTCGCTCTGGAGTGCTGTGAGGAGGTCAGTTGTGCCACGGCCACGTATAAAACCAAACTGGCTGTCAGGCAGCATGTCGTTGCGCTCCAGGAAATTGGCGACTTGTTGGTTTACAATACACTCCATAACCTTGCATAAAATGGAGAGCAAGGACACAGCCGGTAGATTAATTGCCTAGATCGAGACGGCTTCTTGTATACCGGGACATCGTGAGCGAGCTTCAAGTTCCTTAGAGCACTCTTTCAATACCCGAGATGGAATGCCGTCAGGTCCAGATGCCTTGGTTGGGACTAGCCTTGCAAGATGCCGCCGAAATGAAGCTTCTCGGAAATGAGCGTGCTCTAATGGCTCGTTGGTCGGGGTAGTCACCGCAGGAGGGTCATTGATAGTCAGTTCTCGGTCACCCAAGCTGCATTTCGAGGAGAAATGCTTTGCCAGGCACTCAGCTTTCTCTGCTGAGGTGTGGAACTCCTTGCTACGGCTATCGACTAGAACAGGAACATCAGTGGAGTGGCGTGTAGCGCCAGTGGTTTTCTTCATGTTTTTCCACCACTCTTTATCACTAAGTGACTGGCAGCCGAGTGTGTGGTGCAGTCGATTGACGCTAGACGTATGTGCGTGAACAGATCGGTTGACAGAAGTCTTGAGGACATCCCGGTGCAGATTCTGCCTCCACTTCTTCCGCTGCTTCTCCTTTGCCTCTTCAGAAATGGTTCACTCTGGAGTCCACCAGTTGGGGGGGGGGCAGAGGAACGAGTGGTGAATACTTTGGTGGGGATGTACTGGTCCATGTCTTGCAGGATAGCCGAGGTTAATCGCTCGCAATACAGAGTGGAATCGTCTGACATTATCGACCGCCAGCCGTGACTGCGGTAAAATGCCCTGAGTCTGTTACAGTCATCACTATCGTATTTTCACACCTTGCGAGTTGTTGTTGGAACGCGGTGGGCGGAAAATGCTTGGAAAGTGCATATAAAAACGGCATGGTCGGACCTGCGAAGGGGGGGGGGGGGCAAGCACATTAGTTGATACTGGGGTATTGAAGTCGGAAAAAACAAAGTCTAATACATTTTCAACGCGTGTTGGATGGTGTACATGCTGGTCGAGGTGGTGAGTTGCGCACAACACTTCCGAAGCTTCCCCAGCCACAGTTGTCTTAGTGCTGCGAAGCCACTAGGCTGTTGTAATAAAACGACTCATCTCATTCCATTCCCGTGCATGCTACATGCATGCTGCGACGGGACAAAGACAGCTGTCGCAAATTTCACCTTGTATTACACGTGTTTTGTTGGTGATTCCTGGTTAGTTGCTGGTTTTTCCCTCCTCGAAGATGTTGCCACCGCAAATGCGAGGGTTTTTTGTTCGTCCTGGGGATCCGTTGAGGGAGACGAGAGGCTACAGTGCTAAGAGGTGGTCGGCGGAGCTTGTTGTTGTTGTTGTTGTATACTTTATTTATAGTGGATCGTACGTGTTTTTTCCTACAAAATCCATAATCCACTGGGGTGAATGATTGAGTGTGGTGGTGGGGCCCATTAAGCTCAAAATAGGTATTTGGATTTTAAATCTCAAGCCTTGCAGTATATATTATCAGCGACATAGGTTTTCCAATGCTTACTGGATTGATATCTGTTCGTTGCAACCAACCTTCCGTCATTTTTCCTTTCTCTTTTTCTCTTGTATCTACTCTTGTATCTACTTTTTTTGTTTGTTTTTTTGTTTTTGTTTTTTCTCCACAATATCCTTTAACATGTTATTCACAGTGGGTCCAATGTTATTAGGCATTTTGCCTGTTTTGACTCCAAATCAGCAAAACGTTGCAGGAGGAATGACAATACCATGCTAAATCGATTGGTGCCATATTAGAAAACTCTCCTTGAAAAATAAAATTTAGCCTGCAACGGCTAGCACTAGGGAGGAGCCGGGAAAAGACATTGTGGCAACAAGTTTCTTCCCTCGATAGGTGCATCATTTTCTTGTATAAATAGGTGTGCGCGTATGTATGCCTCTCTCTCTCTTTTTTTTCTCTCTCTCTCGCTCTTTGCCTCTCTCTCTCCTCAACCATTCTACCTCACCTCTTGTCCTTTATTGCACTAAATCACCCCTTCGTTTACACGATTGGGCGCAAACCCATGACCAACGCCGAGACCATAGGTCGGTGGTGTGGGCTTGCCTTTACCAGCACAGGCTTGCTTTGCAGCCCCGTACTCACCCTGCTGTTTTGTTATTGTATATTCTGTTCTCTTTTCCCCTTCTCACGATTCGGTTGTGTACTTAGTAAAACAAATGTATCCGTGCACGTATGCATCAATGAATTTGGGTGTCTGTGTGGACGAGTATAAACATTTTGTTTGGTTGGGTATGCGTGTAGTTTGAGGGATTCGAAAGCTGAAGTTTTGCGTGCATCGTATAATGTGTGTGCCAAGTGCATTCCGTTGCGGAGTCTTATCTGTAGATCTACTCGCTTGAATTGTAATGTGTATATTATTGTAAAGGATGACCCAGTGGCTCGAGGCCTATCGAGAGATCACCTGCCAAAAAAAATATCTGTCTATCGCTCAGGCAACTATCTTCTCGCTGAACATTATACAATGTAGTGGCAAACAGACGAACAAAGCAACATCTTCAGGAGCAGGAAACATATTTGTTTGGTAGTAGCAGGCCTCAGCCAGACGTGACACTGATGAGCCTGAAGAAGACCCCATAAACTTGTTCTGCAGTGCATGTAGCAAACCAGAAGGGTTTTGTTATGTATCGGTTCACAATTCACGATTACATTATCCAGGTAGAGCGTGA